AATTTTACTCACTAGCATTAATACATTTAAGGCGGCACTTAATCTAGTTGCCTTTGGAAAAATGTATACGCGAAGAGTAGACCATAATTGTTTTAATTACTTGAAATGTGTGATTTTATTTTTGGTGTATTGATAGTTGTCAGTAATAAAACTCCAATATTTATAATTTTCAAAAAACTAAGTGTTTGTTTATAAAAATATATGTTTTTAATGGCGTAGAAATTTGAAATATCCAATAATTAAAAAACCTTTATACTATGCCTATGGACTAAAAAAATTTTAGAACTACTCCAACGTTAGAAATTTTCGAAAATGTATACGAAATTTATAAAGGAAATATTTAAAAAGAATTATAATTTCAGGTCTATATAGTGCCCAGACGGGATTGTGGGAACATGTGGTAGGGTTTTGTAATGATCTTTTAAGATCAAAAGTTTAAATACAAATTTATTTGCCCCTCAAATTTTTCAGTTTTTTTTATAATTTTAGAGTTTTACCATAAAACATTTTGTAAAAAAATATAGTATCTTCATGAGCATTTTTTGACAAAAAAGGAACCATTGATAACATTTCTGCTTCAAATCAATGATAGCTGTGACATGCAAACATGGAATAGATGCCACCAACTGCTGGTGAAGAGATGTATAAATGAACAAAAAGTTCAGGAACAAATGTTCAGTAAAACCATGGAGGAGAATATCAACGCGGGGTGCTCACAGGGTGGTTATTTCTCTACTACTGTAAAACCTTGTGACAAATGATCTGCTGTGAACATTAAATCCACACGAACTGGAACTCTCAAAAAAGGGTCTCCAGCCAAGAGTGGGAAACTGCTAAACGGGTAATTACAATAGAGAATGGCAATACGCACCTTCAATCCATACAAATCACCTGGACCAGATGGGGTACTGCCTGTGCTTCTGCAACAGGCAATAGAAACGCTGGCCCCGCATATTTGTAGGCTCTACAGGGCAAGTGTGGTGCATAAACATGTACCAACTACCTGCAAACAAAGCAGAGTTGTCTTCATACCTAAACCGGGGCGTAGAACGTATGCTGTGGCAAAAGGCCTATACACCAATAACTCTGACGTCATTTCTATTGAAAGGATTGGAAAAACTGATTGATCAGCATGTCCGGCAAGCCACTCTGATAGAGAGGCCATTTCATACAAACCAACATGCCTATCAATCAGGAAAATCTTGTGAGTCTGCTCTGCATCATCTTGTAACCAAGATAGAGGAAGGACTCAGTAGCCAAGAAATAGTCCTAGGAGTATTTCTTGACATAGAAGGAGCTTTTGATAATACCTCCTTTAAATCAGTGGTAGCTGCAGCTCGCAAACATGGAATAGAAGACACCATCTGCTGGAGGATAGAAGACATGTTATGCGGACGGCAAGTACAGGCACAAATGTTCAGTGAAACCATGCAGGTGAATATCTACAGGGGATGCCCACAGGGTGGAGTCATTTCTCTTCTACTGTGGAACCTAGTGACAGATGAACTGCTGAAAACACTAAACAATCAACAACCACAGTCTTTGAACTCATGCAAAGAGCTCTTAGGCTGACGGAAATGTGGTGCGTTAGAGAAAACCTCTTGGTAAACCCTGACAAGGCACAACTCATAACCTTTACTCGGAAAACAAGGTTAAAGGTTTTAGAAACTCTGACTCTGTTTGGAGGAAAGCTAAACAAAACGAACCAAGTAAAATATCTGGGTCTAATCCTAGACAGCAAACTTACTTGGAACCAAAACTTACAAAAAGTGACCAACAAATGTAAATTGTCCCTCATTGTAGGGAGACAAGCATTTGGAAAAACATGAATATTAAAACCAAAAATGGTCCACTGGCTATATTTGGCAATAACAAGACTCATGATAACTTATGGAGCGATTGTTTGGTGGCCAAAAGTAAACTAGAAAACAGTTATCAATAACCCTCTCAGGAGTAAAGAGGCTGGCATGCCTTTGTATTACAGGAGCACTGAGAAGTACACCGACAGCCTCTATGGAAATCATTCTAAACCCCTTGACCTAGTCATAAAGGGGGATGCCAGAATGAGTGCATGCAGACTGGAAATCTCCAATAACTGGAATCCACTGGGACATATAAAACACCAGAATAACACATGAAGTAAATGAAATATAGGATCAGATCACATGACACCCTCCTAACCTTTAACAGACTTTTCCAAGTCAACTGTAACTGGAACGAAGTAAATAAGGAGATAGATAAATACTTGCTTAACGGTCTCGTTTGGTATACGGATGGATCTAAAACTAACAAGGGAACAGGCTCTGGCGTACATGGAGTTAAACCCAAATGCGACATTATCGTCTTACTGGGAAAACATGCCACTGTATTTCAGGCTGAAATACATGCAATCGAATTGTGTGTACGAGAGAATTTAAGAAGGAAGTACAGAAAACAAACCATCCTAATTCTCTCAGATAGCCAAGCAGCCTTAAGGGCTCTTGATTAAAACAAAATCAAGTAAAAGCTTGTCTGGAATTGCCTTGGAATACTAAATGATCTGGCAACCCACAACAAGGTAAAACTAGCGTGAGTACCAGGACACAAAGGTATCCAAGGAAATGTAAAGGCTGATGAACTCGCCAAAGAGGGATCAGATCTACCATTCACAGGACCCGAACCTGTATTTGGGATAAGCAGTGAACAGGTGGATAACCACAAAACACCAAATTCACTGGCAACAGATAAGAGGGCACAGAATCAGTAAGCTCTCGCAAGGCTTCAGATATTCACCATTGTGGGATTACTAACAGGGCACTGCTTGCTGAAACACCTTCGTGTAATGGGATTACACAATGATCCCACTACGTGTAAACCTCATACTATGTGATTTTCGAATGCGAATCTCTTACTAGGCGACGTTTCATCCTTTTCGGCCTAGAACCGGAAAGAACGCCCCAGGAACACTTGGCAGAAAACCTATTAAAACTAACCAAAGACACAGGACTATTCGAAAGATAGTACCTGAATACGGGGAAAGCAGGGGAATACAATAGACCCAAGAGGCCGCAGTGTTCTGGGACAAACCTAACCCTACCTGCTTACAACCGATAAAGATAAAGATTAAGCCCTAAGACTGACAAAATCGTGGTAAACTGTGACAAGAAACTAATCATAACCTTTACTCAAAGAATAAGTTTAGATATTTTATAAACGTTGATCCTGTTTGGAGGAAAGCTAAGAAAGTTAAGAAAGCGTGTTTTTACATGGGAATAAACCCAATCCAAGTCTAATTTTAGGTGATAAACCTATTTTGATCCAACACTTACAAATAGTAAAATGTCTCTCATTAAAACCAAAAGGATTGGAATTAAAACAGATAATTGTCCACTTGCTCTATTCGGTAATTACAAGAACTATTCCTACTTATGGAGTGGTTGTTTGGTGGCCAAAATTAAACCAATACCTTCTTAGGTGTAGAGAGGCTGACGTCTTTGTATTAGAAGAACATTGAATCATACACCGACAGTTTCTAAGGAATTAATTCTGAAGCTCCAATACCTTGACCTAGTCATAAAGGGGGAGGCCAAACTTAGTGCCGGACTAAAAATGGAAAGAAGGCAACATAAACACTTGGTAAATTTTTTTTTATAAAACTTACAGTATTGTTTAGACAATACATGGGCACTAGGAAAGCAGGGGAATACACGGGATACATCTAAGATAAAGTTAAAAATGTGTTTCTAACTGGTTCATAGTAATTATGGCATAACTTAATGATGCTGGATCAAAGTAAAACATATGATCAACACAATGGTGCTTATTGATAATAGCCCTCTTCTTGTGACATATCTCAAAAAAAGAAGAGTTGGAGATACCAAAATTTCTGAAAAATCGGCAAGTAAACTGCCAATGATATTTTTGGGACGTTGGGATAGAGAAAGATTAAGTAGTCGACCACCTTTTAGGTCAACCTTTTAACAGGTTAACGCATGATATTTCCTCCTTTCGATTTCAATCAGCACGATATAATCTATTTTTGGAGATAATAGTGTTTACAAAAAATGTTCACCATTTTCGCTTTGACCATAATTATGACAAAAATGTAAAAGGTCAAATAACAAATTGTTGCATATTATTATTACATAGATAACTCTGCAGGTAATTTGTTATCCGATAATATTACTTTATCTTTTTCTTCTGCTGCCTCCTTTGTTTTCCTAGTTATGACTAAACCAAAGAACAAAGATAGAGTTTGTATAAGGACTGAAGAAAGCTTCTATTTTGACGCAATTAGTTACAAATAAGAGTCTTTGACAATAACTCTGAATGTTTTGTTAACACTAACTCCAAAAATGTAGTACCGAAGTTTGTCCTTATTTTGACATCTGCCTAAAACCCGAGCAAACTTAGGTTGATCTGGTGTTTAGCAATTAATAACTTATCTGTATTTGTAATAGGAGGATGGGTTGTTCCATATCACTTAGGCCTCACTAGGCCCATTGTGCATTCTCCTGGTGCATATAGAACCTGCCTCGGCTCGTTAAAAAACCTGCAACCAGTCTGTCAACTAGATAAGTCACCGTAAGATTTAATTAATAACCTATTTTTTTTTAATTCAGCCTAAAATAATTCGATTTATGGCGGCTAGCTTTTCGATTAGATGAATGAGAAGCATAAAACTTCTTGAATAAGTACTTTTTGCTTTTTTTTTATTATTTATTGCTTTATTAAACCTACTAAATAAGTTTCACTTTTTTGTAATTCCAATATATTTATTAAGAAACCGTATCAAAGCAAGTATAATAATCATGCAGAATGAAGATGATAATATATAAATGTTTGTTTTAATAAGTTGTTTTAAAAATAAGAATGTGTTAAAATGGGCATGCATGTTAAAGTAGGTATTACATACAATAGTTAATTAAATTAATTAAATAATCATTCCCAACAAGCCAATTCTATATGTACAGGTTATATGTTGTTAGTCTTGTTATTTTATATTTCCTTTGAATTTGTACCTAATAAAGTTTTCCCCCATTTAACTGTTTTATCATATCCTGGATTTCGTCAACATTTTCGCAAAGAAGGCTTTCACAACACCCTCCAAAGGTTTTTGTCGTAAAACAGTGGTCCCTGTAATAAAATTTATTCACATTTTTTTAATTTTCAAATATTTTAAAATGTCATTATATTCATATCATTATTTAACATTATTGAAAACACCATTCAATTATTAATTAAATTCTCTAGCTTCATTCTAAACGAGTCCAAAAATCTGTTCATGAAACATTCTTTATGTTTGTTGATCTAATTATCCTAAAATAAGTTATGGGGGAGATATCGCGCATAGTGTCATGGCGGCGCTAACGTCATGCGTAGAGTTAGTAGATTTGGCGCGAAGTAAATAGCATATAACTTATGCACATTGCAGTGGTTTGAAGGTCGTTTATAGTAATTTATAACATTTTAAGCGTATATTTGAGTCATATTTTATTTTAATTTTGCATTTACACCCACCATGTAGCACTTATTTGTATTTGGTCCATTATTTTTAGCTTTGTATTATTTGTGTAAAAAATATTTTTGTTATTTTATTTATACATAAATCCTTTTTTTTTTTTTTTAAACATAGTTAAGTTTATTCAAGTGGGTAATATATTTCAGGTAAATAGGTCACCAGTTACGAATTTTAATCAGGTAAAAATTTTCAGCGTATCCAGTTGTAAAGATGCCCTTCTGATTATCCTAGGTATAGCAAGCAAAAATCTACAGCTTTTATAGAAGTCACTTTTTAACATAACCTCAAAGTTTTCGATTGAAAATGCAAAAGTTCGTTCAAATTTTTTTCATTTTTTATTTTTAGCTTTTTCCAAACACAACCCAATTTTGATGAAATTTGGTAGAATTATACTTTGTGCCTTAAAAAAATCAAAAAATTTAGAAAATTTAGAGGTAATAATTTTTTCGGTCAGAAAAATTCTGCGGTGAAAAATTATCGTACAAAGTTTTTCATGTACTCATTTTTTTCGTTTTGATAAAATAAAAAATATATAGTCACGATTAAAAAACATGTTCAAAAATGGTTAAAAACAAAAAATGACAATAGCAACAATGAATTATTACTTAATTATTGATATAATTTGTTTCAAATAAAAAAAAAAATTAAATACTGATTGTATCATTCAATTTTATGGAAAAAATATAAAAGCAACTGTTTTTATTTTTTTCATCAAAATTTTTATTTTTGTATACAGTGTGGGAACTTTAACTGGAACTAATTCGCTAGAGCTGCAGGATAAAATATTTGGTTAAAACGCAAATACAGGTCAATTGAGTTGTTTTGTGGTCTTTCCTGTCATATTAAAAGAAACCCACCTAATTTTTTTTAATTGGTTGATACTACTTGTGTCATCTTGTAGGAAAGCTCTATTAACAAGAAAAATGACTGCAAATTTTTTTCATTTTAATTTGATAACAAATAGGTACACAGTTTTTTAAATAAATGTAAAGCTGACCGACCTCACACAAAAATCAGAATTGCAACTAGGTAGGTTAAACGTTGCATAAGTTTTTAGATTAATGGCCTCAAATAAATTTTTAGAGTCTATCTATTTTTTTATTACCATTTATCTTCATTTCCAAATATCTACTCAAATTTATTTTAATAATGATAGAAACTACTAATTTGAAACTCACACAGGTTAATTTTTTTGTTTACATTTTTTAGCCGATAATACAGTTTTTGTTACAATGTTCTGAAATGTTATTGGTTGAAAACGATTGAACTGCTGTAATAAAGACTCGTCGCTACACCATGCGGACGACACTACCACAGCTTATACAATACAGCTAAAACACTCTCTTGGCGGCAACGGTTTGCGTCGATTTCGTCGCGCATCGCTTAAGCTCCGCCTTCGAAGGGAAAAGACGGTTTTGGCGTTCAGAAGTGTACTTAGGTAAGGTGTTGAGTCGTGCGTATAATTTCGTTGATTGTATAATTTCGTGGAGCCTATAATTTCGTAGATGTTGTTTGAGTTAAAGGTACTGTTATTATTTTGGTGACTCTTTAGCTGTGAGTAGAATGAATGAAAAAAAAGACATCATTCTGTTTGTGCAGTCAAAAGCTGTTTTAATAAGGGTTATACCTGCAAGAAAACATTCTTTAGTTTTCCCAAGGACCCAAACCGATAAGTACCACATTATAAAAAATTTTCATTGTTAAAAATATAATTTATACAGGGTGTCCCATTAGTGCGTTATTGTTCATTATTTTGTTGTAGACACGCAAGAAAGTTTTAAATAAAAGTTATATGGATTTGAAAAATACCTACATATTTTAAAAATATCTTTGGATATACAGGGTGTCACGTTTTTGCCTGGCAAATTAAAATGTATGTTTTTTAAATGGAACACCTTGTATTTTATTTTATGATGAAATTATTAACACCCTAAATTATTGTAAAGACGAATTGCTACAGAAAATTTTTATCAGGTATGTGTGTGGTTACCTTTTAATAAAAGCCTTGCGGATCCACTCCTGCGATACCTGTCTTAAATATAACAAAGATCACGTTGAAATAGATGATTTTTCTTTTTATTGCTTTTTAAAGACATATGATAACGCCAATTCAGATACATTTGGAAATCTGCAACTGTCAAATGATGAATTTGTAGAACTAATATTTAATATTGAAAAGATATTTCAAAATAATTTTGAAGAATTGGCTACAAAAAATAACATTTGTACCACACTTTTAGAATTAATTAACCCAATACCCTTTAGTCATCCATGCTAACGTTTTCCAAAAGAATAACTTATTTTATTGTATGTTTAATCTCAATAACTAAAAAATATACTGACAATTAGTTTGACAGAATTGTCATTTATTTAAAATTTTAAAAATAATAGCAGTCGGTTGATCAAAATATGAACGGTGATTAGCGAATTTATTTTTTTTGTAGTGTTCTCACTACCTAGAATGGATATGAAATATATTCGTTCAATTGAAGGCAATAGCATACTTTTTCGTTTTGTAATCTCTGCATGGATATTAGCCAATCTACGCACATACTACAAAACGAAAAAGTATGTTATTGTGTTCAACTACGAATATATTTCATATCCATTTTAGGTAGTAAGAACACTTTAACAAAATTAAATCTACAAATCACAGTTCATATTTTGGTCACCCAACTCCTATTATTTAAATTTTTTTAAATAAGTGACAATTCTGTTAAACTAATTGTCAATATATATTTTAGTTATTGATATTAAATATACATTAAAATTTTTGTGCAGACTCGATAAATAATAGCATTTTTGTTTTTATTGTGTCCACATTTAAAAAAAAAATAAATTTTAATTAAACTACATGATACTAATTTAATTACGAGTATTAAAACTAAAGTCCTGAAAGTTTCGGTGATGATGAAGACAGAGCATCTGCCTTCCACGCGAAAAGTCCGGGATTGAATCTAGGCCGAGGACTAATTAATTTTTCATGTTTATTTTATTTTATTTTATAAATTAGTCAACTTCGTAAATTATTTTAAAATTAGTTATTTTGTCTAAATAACCAAAAATAATTTTTTAAATTTGTAGATTTTCGTTAGTGGGTCGTAGAAAAAATATACTGACCATATCGAGTAGATTGTTCATATCACAATCAGACGATTGAGTACTCCGCCTACGACGTCGTGCTCAAACTTCGTCTTTGAGTGATATGGCTATCATATCCACCCTTGTTGAACAAACTACAATTTATTTGTTTTCTTGGTTTAAGTTTTACATCAGAAATAGGAATTAAATTAATTTACTTTTCAAGTTTTCTTGTAAAAATCGATATTACTTTCTCCAAGTACAAATTTAGTACCTACCTAAAATAAGTACTAATTATGTTATATCTTGTAATATTGTAATCCAAATTTCACATTACTATAAAGTTTTAAAATTTCCTACTTCAGTATGGTCAGATAAAAATTGAATATATTATATTAATAAAAACTGTCAAAGTATAACTTCTACAAATCTGTATTTCAAATAATAAGAATACATCTAAATATAACCAATATTGTTAAAACAAAAGCACACATTCTTTATAATTCCAAAATACCATAGAATTCCCAGACCTCAGTCGAAGCATTCGTTTATCTAGGTATAAACCCTTTGCGCGAAGAGTAACACTTGCCAGAGACACGGGGGTACCACTTGATTTGCATCCACGAGCGTGACACAATTCTTTAACAATTGAAGCCCTTGGTGTAAAAAGGATCCAAGCCACAATTTGTCGTGAAGTGACTGTTTTAGCTCAAAACATTTGTTAACGAGGATTTTACTAGCCACATATAAATTGTTTTACCTCTAATCCGAAAGATGTGCTATTTTTCGTAATATTTATATTTAAATAATTTTTTTAATTATATTTGAAAGATTTAAAACAAATTAAAAATGTAATTTCCCAAAACTTACTTAATATGGCATGTGACCAACCTTATTACGCCAAGGTTTTCAATTTTTTCAATAATAAAAAAATTGTTTAATCCGGGCCCGACTTTTCCCTCGAATCTAACAGAGAGCACCATTCCGTCTTGCTTGGTTCTCGACCGCCAGATCAAAGACGCCGACACGGAGTTGTGGAGCTGTATTGTATAAGCTGTGACACTACTATAACGAAGGATAGTCAAGAATATAACTTTTCCGTCGCATGCGGTTGCGACTATGCGTCGCTAACCGAATACGGCGTTCAGCGCACAGTTTCAGGAAATGGGCCCCTGAAGGATTTCTGGGACTTCTAATAGAATTATAGGACTTCCGAAAAAATTCTCCACTCCTACCTAGCGAAAATCTAATTCGCCGTCTATTCTTAATTTGTAATTTTGAACCAACCTTAAAAAAACAAGATATAGGTATATACTATGCAATATAACAAAACGATAAGCTGTTTTAAAACAAAAAAACTTACATAAAGTTAATGTATTACAGTTCATCAAATTTCTAGAGGTGTTCGACGCCCAGACAGAGAACGCGCTACGTGTGACTAAGATAGCTATTGTACAGTCTGCTAAACAAGTTATTTTAAATAGTTTTTAATATTTTTAGGTAATTAAATTTTAAAAGTGTGGAATAGTTTAGG